AAAGATTTCAATTTTTATTCCATCAATTCCTGGTGCCTTGTTCTTTGCCAATTCCTTCAATGCACCTTGGACTTCCTCCTTCAGTATCATTGGCTTGTTGTTGTTATGTGCCGTGGAGTCAGTTCCAACTCATAGCTACCCTATACAGGGTTTCCGAGGTTGTAAATCTTTACCAGAGCAGACAGCCTCATCTGTCTCCCATGGAACAGCTGATAGTTTTGAACTGCTGACCTTGCGGTTCACAGTCCTATTCATAACCACTATGCTACCAGAGCTCCTACAGTTGGCTTACAGGTGCCTGACTGAGAAGACACGCCTCCTACAGACCACGCCTCTTCAGAGGCTCTGAGCCCAGGAAAACTTCTTTTGCTTTTAGAGAGCTGGAGAACTGATTGGTTGCATCTTATCACTGGTCTTCACTTCTACTCTCCAAGGATAGTTGGATTGTTTCTGTTAGGTGCCCTGGAGTTGGTTCCGACTCATAGCGACCCTTCGTAGAGTATCCAAGGCTGTAAATCTTGACAGGAGCAGAAAACCTCATCAAAAGTTCATTTTCTCCTGAGAAGAGGCTGGTGAGTTTGCACTGCAGACCTGTGGTTAGCAGTCCAGTGCTTATCCAACAGAGCCACCAAAGTTTTTTAGTTGGGATGTTGTTATTGTGCCATGGAGTTGGTTCCAACTCACATACAACAGAGCAAAACCCTACTCTGTCCTATGCCATCCTTACAATGGGGTCAGCCCGTTTTTGCTGGCACTGTGTCAATCCCTCTTTTTCACTGACCCCTCGCTTTTCCATGCATGCTGTCCTTCTCCAGGGACTGGTTCCTTCACTTTTCCATGCATGAGGTCCTTCTCCAGGGACTGGTTCCTCCTGATAACACATCCGGAGTTTAAGAATCTATGTCCACCATCCTGGCTTCTAAGCATTCTGGCTGTACTTCTTCCAACACAGATTTGTTTGTTCTTTGGGTCTGTAGTACTTTCAATATTTTTCTCCAACACATTAATTAAAATGCATCAATTCTTCCAGGGTCTTCCTTATTCACTGTCCAACTTCCACATGCATATGAGGCGAGTGAATATACCATGGCTTGGGTCAGGCACACCTTAGTCCTCAAACTGACATATTTGTTCTTTTTTCCCCTCCTTTAATGGAAATATTGTTTACTGATGATTTGCCCTGTAAACTTTCACTCAATCCACAATAAAAACCTTAAAAAAAAAAACTTTAAAATTCTATTTTTTTTTTAAATGCTTTTGTTGTGGGTTGAGTGAAAGTTTACAGGGCAAATCATCAGTTTTACATTCAACAAATCATACAACATGTTTTATCACAATGATTACATTCTCCTCCATGTACCATCAGTTAACAGTATTTCTTTCTATTCACTTTGTTGTTGTTATTGTTGTGTGCCATGGAGTCGATTCCGACTCATAGCGACCCTGTACAGGGTTTCTGAGGCTGTAAATATTTATGGGAGCAGAAAGCCTCATCTTTCTCCCA